TTTTTTTTTTTTTTTTTTTTTTTTTTTTTTTTTTTTTCTTTCTTCTTTTTAGGTGTTGCTCTATATCTAAAGTCGATTTGGACATGCATATATACAAATTTATTTTTCAGTTAAATATATAAGTAATAAATGAAAATTGAAATATTGATTTTTGGTTTTTTTAATAAAAGTTATTAAGTTATTAGTTTTAGTGTGGAATTAATTTTTCTAGAAATTTACTAAAAATGAAAAAAAAAATGATATATTTGTGTGTATATGAGGTGAAAAATTAAAAAAAAAAAAAAACTTATTTGTAAATTTGTCATAAGTTCTACCTTTAAAAATTAAAATTAAATCAAAATAAATTTTGAAAACGCACTTTTGTGCGAGTTCAACTCTAGAATTATAAACGAACCGATGAGTTTTGAAGATGACATGGATCAAACTAAACGTGAATCCATGTTCCTTTGGCTTTACGTGGATCCGACACATTTGATACTACATATAAGATTTTTTTTTTTTAAAAGATAATCTAAATTTTATGTCTACCCATGTAAAAATTCTTAATGTTTTCTTTCGATCTAGATTTTTTAATTTAAATTTTAAAAAATGAAGAATTATATTAACAAAAGTTTAAAAATGAATGAATATAGTACTTTATTTTTAAATATGTTTAATATTGATTATTCTAAATTATATTATAGAATAATAATTATACCAATTTTATAACAAAAAAATATGTTTGAAAATTAATCAATAATAGTTTATATTAAACCTAATATTTAATTTTATAACTATGAGTGGTTTTGTGGTCTTTAACCAGTTATAATCCAATTTCTAAATGTGTTACTAAACAATTTAAAGGTGGTAACATAGTAGTCAAACCATTTCAATATTTTAACCAAATGATCAAATAGAAATGAAAACTTTAAGACATAGGAACTGAAATGATATTTTTCCTTAAATAAAAGAATTCTTACAAATTATATCGATCTCGTATATAGTTTAACATATATAAATATTTGAAGGAAGCATGAACTAAGTTTTTAAATACACCACCAACAACAAAGCTGCCGACCTATCTGCCACCGATCTCAATCAACTGGTCAATAAATGACTAGCTTTTATGTTCTTGTTTACTTCAATAGGTACGATATTTAGTTGTCAAATAAAATAGTGCGATATTTAACCTTCAATAGATAGCCACTAAAGAAAGCTATGCAACAAGTCAAACAAAAATTAACGCTCATTATTCTATTTCTAATGACCAAATAGATCGATCGTAGTACCTACCTCTCGTGTCTTTGTTTGGTTAATGGAGTTCCCAAATGAAATCGCGAACTTATGATAGCCAAAACACGAACCCAAATTTTCATTTGAGGTCATAGATTCATGTTTGTACACATCAAATTTGAAAGAAAGAAAGCCTGTAAATGAAGTATGGGTGGGAAATGGTTAAAAATGGAGTCCCACATCGAAACAAATCAAGAAATGTACTTTTCTTGCTGTTCTTGAAGAAGCCTTGCCGAAGACTTGGCGTCCAGATAGAGCGCACAAACTTCTTTGAGATCTCCCTGTGAGTGAAAAGCAATCAAAACATAGAGCCTATAAATGAAGGCTCCAATAAAATGCCACATTCAAGTAAATACCTTGCATATGCTTTCACGACCATTCATTTTCGCCACGATGCTAGCAGGCGATAGCAACTGAACCGCATGTCTGAATAATCGTTCAACAATGATTAGCATGTATTATCGACCATAAAGGTTATTGATAGCATCGACCAATTGTATATGAAATTACTTATTTAAAAAACACTCCAAACACAAATCTATCATTATGGTACCTTAAAGATGTTCTCTGGCCAATCTCCCCAAGGAAAGCTAAACTTTCTTCATCTACAACCAATTCTTCCACCTGTGCCCGAATGGCTAATATCTTGACAAAGTAACAATGATAGCATAATCAGCAGTTTGGCACCTTCACAAAAAGTATTTAAGATTTAAATTTCCACAAAAGAATGCAAGTCGACCTGAATCATCCCAGCAGGGCCATACGTTTGTGTTCGGATGATCACCAATCGGTCTAACAAGTCGACAGGTATTCCATGAGGGCTATTCATATCAGTCCCTCTGAAAAAATAACGTTGGTTTTACGGTCCAAAAGATGTAGTCTAAGAAGCATGAATATGGAGACAAAACATGAGGGCGGACATGACCAGACAAGGTGATACGTCGATTTCTACAAAAATTAGAAAACGGACACATCGGGGATAGGCTTTTTTTAGAATATGTAAATTTCACATAAGAATAATAAATCTACACCCCATATAAAAGTTGATTGTTTTCAACATTCTAAGCAAATATGTTCTTCGAGGCAAGATTCAGGGCATGCACTACATGTGGTGTCTATACAATCGTCGAACGTTGCATTTCGATAATTAGCCCTGCAACTTCGCAATTAAGAAAATTATCTGTTATCACTTCAATCACATTTTCATGATCGACTTCAATCCATTTCTTCTAGAAACATTGGTCTACCTTCAGAAGTTTCCATAAAGTTAAATCAAAGGTCTCCTTTGTGAGCTCCATCCATCATCACAATGCTCATCCCCTCCATAAATGATTCACTTGTAATCGATACAATAATCTGGAGAAGACTTGTCATAACAAATTACATCCAGGAGGCATACAAACCGACAAAATATGGTTCGACACATAAGTAAAGGTGCCTATAAAATGTGGATTTCTTGCTAAATGAAAGGGCAAGCCAGCAGAATAAAACATTCAAGCAACAAAGGCCTGTAATTGGTCTTGTAATTATATGTTTGGTCTCATATTACTGGATTGGAACCCTTTTCTTTAATCGGGTTACTTTCGTGGGCTTGATTTTAACGATGTCATTGTATTCTTTCATTTTTTTTTCCTCAATAGAAGCTTGTTTTTTTCCCTAAAAAATACATGTCAAGCATGCAAAAGGTGCAAGAATGTGCAACTTGAAAGACAGGATCAACTAAGTGCAAAGACTTCGTACCGCACATTGCAGATTCCTCTGTTTGTAGCAAAGATCACTATCGGGGAGAGTGAGCTCTCTAAAGCTCGATTTAAGTACGAAAAGCACTCCATATCCAGCATATGCACCTGGAAACTTTACTTACCTCATAAACAAGCGATAAGTTTGAGTACAGAGAATGTTGAGAGAGCTTAAAGAGAAGAAATAACCTCATCAACGAATAGAACTCCCGGGACAAGTTCTGCTATACCTTCGTCAATATATCGGTTAACCACCTGTCGATAAAATAAACTCCACCAAGAATTATACTTCTATACCTTGTGTTTAAAAATTTCGTACTACTGAAAATAGAATAAACCCTCCAGTGTTGTTGAAAAATCTCATGAAACTTTGGAACAGTACTGGAAGTATTTTCTCGTCGAGAATATAAAAATAAATGAAAGAAATTAAGAACTCACGTCCCATTCAAAGTATAATAATACAGTCCACGATTCAGAATATCACCAAGAATGTAACTCAAAAAAAAAAAAAAAAAAAAAAATCTTTCAAACACAAAGAGCTACCTTATTTACTTCTTGCCGCAACTTGTCTGTGATTTCCGTCTTCCTTGGCTTCATCATCTGACCCATTAGAGATAGTATATCTTGTCCACCTTGAGGCCGAGCATTGGCAGCATCTAGATCATGTAGAGTCACATCCTGTCAGGTAGAAAAGGAAAATGCAATAAAATTAATACAAAATTATGAGAGAGCAATTGTATGCCATATGTTGAGATTATTAGTAGGATATCGATAAGGGCATAGTGGTAATTAGTTAAGGTGACTTGGTTTTAGATAAGGGAGTTATTAGTAAGGGATATGTTGGGAATATTAGTAAGATATTACTTAGGGCATAGTGTAAATAGTTAAAGGTGACTTGGTACGGGAGTTATGGAACTTAGAAGCGGAAATGATTTTGAGTATTTTTCCGTGTGGGACTTTGGACATAGCCCTCTCAATCAGTTATTGCAATTTTTTTCTCGACATTGCAATATAGTTCTATTGTATACTTACAATTGTTACTGTTGTGCACCGAAAACGGAACAAATGTACTCACAACACCAATGAACGGAATTACACAAAGAGACACCAAGATATTTACGTGGTTCGGAGAGAAGAAGTTCCCCTACATCCATGGGTAGCAACCAATCACTAATAAACAAAGTGTTACAAATGAATACCTCACTATCACACTACAAAGACTCTTACCAATATGTCACTCAAAAAATACAATGTGACACACCAAACTTGATTTTTTCAGCAGCAGAAAGAATGACATTATATAGCCTTTGGTTGAACCTAAAAATATCAGCGAAACTTAAAGTCCGAAGAATAGGACTAATCAATCCTAAAGAATAGGACCTTACGACAATTTACAACAATCTCCACCTTGTCATAAGATCTCCAAGTTTAACGGATTTGGTTGCCACCACCTCAAGCCTCAATACGTATACCAAAAGAATTTTCTTTTTCTTCGTAAACCCATTTATAACCAATTTCCTTTTTACCTCTTAGGAGTTGTACCAAAACTCAAGTTTGATTTATTTGCTGATTCATATTCTCTTGCACGTGTAAGCTATCCAGGCTCTGAATAGTATCTTTGTAATTGTTGGGAACTCCATCAATCAAAAAAGAGAAAGCATATGCTATCGTATCATCAAACCTTGCAGGTTTTCAAATTACCCTTCGTGGTCTATTCTTGGCGATAGACTCAAGTTCCTCCACTCTTTCATTTACAAGGCTTTGCTCCTCCTGTTCTAAGACATTAGAGTTATTATCTACCTAATCAATGGGTTCTTCAGTAGGAGTAACCATATCAGGAGAGAACACCACCTTCTCCACCTGCTTCAATGCCTCGTCATTATTTTCAATTTTCTGCAAAAACATTCCACACTCATCGAATGTCACATCTCGACTATTAACAATCTTACTTGTTTCTGGACACCATAACCTATAGCCCTTCACGCCTTTGCTAAAGCCCATATATTGGTTTTTTTTGCTCTAAGATCCAGCTTTGAGTCTGTCACATGATAATAAGCAGGACACCCAAACACATGCAATTTATCATAATCACTAACAGGAGTACCTGACCATACCTCAAGCAGAGTTTTCCCACCATTTCCAGAAATAGGTAAACGATTCACCAAGTGAACTGCATAACTGAGAGCGTCAGCCCAAAATGCTTTACTCAATCCTGCTTGAGACAATATGCATCGAACCTTCTCTATTAATGTCTGGTTCATTCTCTCAGCAACTCCATTTTGTTGTGGCTTACTAGGAACAGTGAAGTGTCGAACGATCCCTTCATCTCGACATACTTTAAGGAATGGATCATAAGTATATTCTCCACCGTTGTTTGATCTCAGCTTTTTGATTTTCCTGTCCGTCTGATTCTCTACCATTTTCTTCCACTCTAGGAAGATTTGGAGAACCTCATTTTTGTGCCTCATGGGATACATCCAAACTCTCCTCAAGTAGTCATCAATAAAGGTGACAAACCACTTCTTTCCTCCCAATGAGACATTCTTCGTGGGACCCCATACATCAGTGTACATAATCCAAAATGCCCTTTGTTTGGTGTATAGCTGTACCAAACTTCACATTTTTTTGTTTACCAAATATACAATGTTCACAAAAATCAATTTTACCAGTTGTGGCACCTTTAAGGACTCCTTGGTTCACCAATGTCTGGAGTGCCTTCTCACCAGCATGCCCGAGTCGCATGTGCCATAATTTCGATATGTCTTGTTCTTTCGAATTTGCCACAGCAGCATGCCCAATTATTGTGATTCCGTTGAGGTAGTATATGCTACGTCTTCTAGTTCTTTTAATTGCCACCAAAGCTCCACGAGCTACTTTCAAATTCCCTCCTTCCAAAATGATGCGATAACCACTTGCATCCAAAACGCCAAGGGAAATCAAATTTTTCTTCAAGTCAGGGACATACCTCACATCATTGAGTTTTCGTATAACCCCATCAAACATCTTGATTTGTACTGAGCTGATTCTCATCATCTTGCAAGTACTATCATTGCCCATATAGACAACTCCACCATTGAACTCTTTGAAATCCAAAAATATCTCTCTGTTGGGACACATTATGACAGGAGCAACCAGAATCAATAATCCATTCACTGGTTTGGCTGACTGATAGGGAGATTGTCAAGGCATCATCTGTATCAGTGTCGTCATCTCTAACCACATTGGACTTCGACCCCTTCTCTTTTAAGATCGGACAATCTTTCTTCCAATGGCTTTTCTGTCGACAATATGCACACTCATTTTTATCAAGTTTTCTCCAATTATCAGATCTACCTCTCAACTTTGATCAGGACTCTCCACATTCGCTCATTTTCCAAGTAGAAGTCCTATCACGAGCAGTGAGAACATTTGAACTAGAGTCTTGATATGTCTCCTTTTCCTTCTTTCGCATCTCATTATTTATTAAGGCATTTGAAACATCTTCAAAATCAATATTAGTGATTCCATGTAGTAGGGTCGTTACTAAAAACTCGTAGGATTCCGACAAATAATTTAATAACAACAACGCCTTGTCCTTGTCATCAATCTTAACATCAAGATTGAGCAAATCAGTGATGATTTTGTTAAAATCATCCAGATGCTCAGCCATTGAGATACCTTTCTTGTAGTCAAAACGGAAGAGTTCTTCTTCAAATAGAGTTTATTTTCTACACTCTTCTTCATATATTTTGCCTCAAGCTTGTCCCATAATTCTTTCACCATGGTAACCTTCATAAATAGATATTTCTAATCCTTGCCAAGACATGATCGAATAATTCCACAGGCTTGCCGATTTAATTTCGTCCATTCTGTTTCTGTCATGTCTTCAGGCATCTCCTCTTGGAGAAAAACATCAAGGTCTTGCATGACTAGCAAATCGCTATCTTCGCCTCGCCAAACACCAAAATTATTGGTTCCATCAAATTTCTCTCCTTTGAGATTGGAACTCCACAATCTCGATCCACGCCGTGATTTAATTCCAAATGATTCTGCCATTTGCATTAATTAATTTGGATGTAACTAAAAAACCACAATTTTTGAAAATTGATTTTCAAGAGAATAAGCACGATTGTGAGTACGTCTAGTGGTCGATGAGGCCAAAACTTTCACAATACCCCAAATACCACAATTTGGCTCTGATACCACTTGTTGTGCGCCGAAAATGGAACAAATGTACTCACAACACCAATGAACGGAATTACACAAAGAGACACCAAGATATTTACGTGGTCGGAGAGAAGAAGTTCCCCTACATCCATGGGTAGCAACCAATCACTAATAAACAAAGTGTTACAAGTGAATACCTCACTATCACACTACAAAAACTCTCACCAATATGTCACTAAAAAAATACAATGTGACACACAAAACTTGATTTTTGCAGCAGCAGAAAGAATGGCATTATATAGCCTTTGGGTTGAACCTAAAAATATCAGCGAAACTTAAAGTCCCAAAGAATAGGACTAATCAGTCCTAAAGAATAGGACCTTATGACAATTTACAACCGTTACCAAAATCTTAACAAATTAATAGTCTACAGATCTCCAAATTTAAGAATGTTAAGCAAAAAAGTTTCAAAAACTTGATTTTGCTATTAAAAACACGCATACACATGGATGCATGGTGAGATCCCACATCGGTTGGGGAGGAGAATGAAGCATTCTTTATAAGGATGTGGAAACCTCTGCCTAACAAACGCGTTTTAAAAACCTTGAAGGTAGCCCCAAAGGGAAAGCCCAAAGAAGACAATATTTGCTAGCGGTGGACTTGGGTTGTTACAAATGGTATCAAAGCCAAACATCAGACGATGTGCGTGCAAGGAGGCTGAGTCCCGAAGGAGAGTGGACACGAGGTGGTGTGCCAACAAGGACATTGGGCCCCGAAGTGGGGTGGATTGGGAGGTCCCACATCAATTGGAGAAGGGAACGAGTGCCAACGAGGACGCTAGGCACCAAAGGGGGTGGATTGTGAGATCCCACATCGGTTGGGGAAGAGAACGAAGCAGTCTATATAAGGGTGTTAAAATCTCTCCCTAGCAACACGTTTTGAAAACCTTGAGGGAAACCTCGAAAGAGAAAGCCTAAAGAGGACCATATCTGTTAGCGGTGGGATTGGGATGTTACATGCATATTCCATCACTTGTGTGAAACATGCTAGGCCAGAGTTCTTAACGGAGCAAAGAATGCTGGTGCAAAGCTCCTTGCAATAGCATAGTAAATTAAGGTGGATATATACCCAACAAAAAAAAAAGAACAATTAAGAATTTTGCAAAATCATAACAAAATAAATAAACAACAGGAAGCAGTTTCCAGTCAACCAATACTGGACAAAGTTTTGATTAAAGAAAAATACCGATATCCTACGTGTTACATTAAACGTGCATCCGACAACTTAATAGTGTTCATAAATATGATAAAAATAATTATATAAACTTGAAACAAGAAAGCCAGAATTATATCAAAGAAAACACATACTTTATGTAGTTTTTCTCTTAAGCAAACTAGCAAACTAAAGATTTACGACTGTAAATATTACGATATTGAGGAAATGCAATACAGTAAAGTTAAATTTCTCACCTGGACTATTTCTTTCCTCTTGTGAACTTCCCCTTTAGGAAGTGGAACATATTCTTCAGCTTCAAGATCAAACTCTGTAGCAAAAGCATCACTTCTACCCACCCTTTTCACAGCTCCACTATTTGCTTCTATATATATAACATCACCAACAGCTACCTGAAGATTACTTTGCAAGATGCTTCATTATAACCAGAATGGTCATTGGTAAAAAGGTACAACACTTCCATTACTTAGTAAAACCATCCATACGCCCCCCCGAAATGATATAATTAGCAAATGTCACCTTCTCTTTAATTAAGGCATCATAGATGGTCGGATCCAATTTTAATTGCTTTGTTCCTTTAATAGTCTTTAAACCAATGATAACATGGTTTATGCTTTTACCATAGCCACCAGTCATGCTCTCTGTTTCTTCTGGTGAAAGTTCAGTCACCTGGGAAAAAAGATACCTCACATCAAGTGTTTATAATAGTTGACAACAACATTTAAAGATTCATATGCTTGAGGCACTAGGCACTTACCTCTCCCTCATAGACCTCTTTCTTCTCCTTGATACGTAGACCAATAGATCGTCTGAAATTTTCCATCAAAACCTCGGTTTTCTTCACTTCGGATGAGTATACTTCAGACCCAACCATTGGACAAAAGGGAACCTGTCCATGATAATAAAGTAAGCAGATTTTCTAAGCCAAGGCCAACAAAAAAATAATTCTTGGGGTCTTTCTAGGAGTGGGGTGAGGAGGGGAATCAGAAGGACCTTGCTTCCTAGCTCCTGTGATATTCCAAGTGCAAGTGCAGTCTTTCCAGTACCAGGAGGTCCAGCTAGAAGAAGTGCTCGGCCAGCCATTTTCTTCTGTCGTATCATATCAATAACTAGCCCTGCTGCTTCTCTTGCTTCTGATTGACCCACAAAACCTGAAGCTAGTGGCAATGCCTTGCCTGATGCCTAAAATGGATACCTATGGATGTCACTTTTTTTACTAAGTGGACAAATATTTCTTTTTTACTTTTTAGCAGGAAAAATAAACAGACAATTGATCATAATATGATATGTTCCTGTGCATATTATTATAAAAATTCATTCCATGTTTGCTAAATAAAAGAAAAGTTAATAAAAAAGAAAAATGTATAGATGTAAGTAAAACTATATTTCTTTTAACACAAATATGGTTCTGAGTAAAGACTACTGAGAGATACAGAAAGGCCCTGGCGAAAAAAAATCAGAAGTGTAAACTCAAAACCTTTCTACCCCATGAAATTCCTTTTTCTTTTTTATGAAGGAAATTAATCAAGCATCCAAAAAAGGAATTCAAGCAATCCAAACAAAATTATAGCTCCAAAGAAATATGATCAAGGCCTTCCTCCACCTTCCGACAAAGAATGGAACAAAACGGCCCAATCAAATTAGCCAACTTTCTCAAAAGCCGATCTCTAAAGTGTTATCTCTTTCGTGGATGACCAGTCAAACAAAGAATTGTACCTTCTTTGAGAAAAATACGACTCACCGTCTAGGGAGGGGTTCAATAAGCACTAAACGAATGAATTACAAGAAAAAACAAAAATTCCTCCACCTAGTCTAAGAAAACTCCCAATCAAAGATATGAGAGTAAAGAGAGTCATGATGTTCATCGTTTCCTTATCAGATAAAAGACGGCAAAAGCTAAACAAGGAGACAAACAAAACGAGAATGTTAGCAACAAAATGATTTTTCATAGAAGACAAATGGTATAAAAGAGGAAACATAAAGCAAAGGGGTATCATCCTCCACCCACTTATCCTCCCAGAAGTACATTTCCTTCCCATCCCCCACCAAGTGCTGGACCAGAATAGAAAAGGTAGGGAGCTCATTGGAGATGTCTTTCCAAGGATTTATGTACGTGCCTTTGACCCTACCCAACAACCACTCAAAAGAATAAGGACCATAATTACTCACAATTATTCTATGCCAAAAGGTGTTAAGACTCAAGGGAAACCACCATAGCCATTTAGCCAACAAGGCTCAATAGCGTGTCCTAAAATTCCCGGTTCTAGCCTCCCAAGATTCATTGATTTCCCCGATCAAAAAATGCGCACTCCTTCCCTCGTCCCCTAAACGAGGAGCTCTGAAGAGGGAAAGTAAATAAATAAGGATGTCACTTAACACTGAACGAGTGAGAGTTAGTCTACCCCTCAGATAAAAACCCTTCTCTTCCAAGTAGCAAGTCACTTTCGCACCTTCTCTACCAAAGGGTCTCAAAAGAAGATAGATTTGAAGCAAAGAGAAGGGGTGCAATAACAAAGCTCCAAAGCTCCAAAAGAGACTAAAACAAAAGAAGGAAATGACCAAAGGAAGTTTCTACATAAAAGACAAAACGAGAAAGAAAATTTCATATAAAATTTCAGTTTTTACATAAAAGATTAAATGAGAGAGGAAATTTCATATATAATTTCACAGAAAGTAAATGTAGTATATCACACACAAGCCAAAACATGGAGGGAAAAAATAATAATTTTCTATTCGTTTAAAAGTAATTTTAAAACCAAATAACAATGATTATTTCCTATTAAATGTAAAGTTAGAGCGAGATACCTCAAGACCAAGTCCTTTAATGTGAGTGTGAGTGGCTACCCGTTGCTTCTTAGAGGTTGATTGAACCTCTTCTATCTTCATCTTGTCCATCTTAGCTTAAAAGGAATATCTGATGCTCAAACTCCGAGATGCCTGAGAATAAAAATACTTGATTATCCAAGATTACTATGTTTATTAGACAAGAAAAAATGGTAAAGATAGTTGTGAATGGTTGGAAGAGTAGAATGTAGCCTGACTGTAAGTTAGGCCAATAATCCTCTTGGTTTCAATTTTTTCTTTCTATTCATATCGTTCACTTACGTAACCCAAATCCGCTACTACAAACGTCTAATGCATGTTAACGTGCGAAGGATCAAACATTAATGATATATATGATTAATGTACTCTACACACAAAAATTAAATCTAAGTTACCAAAACTTACCAATATATTACCATCATGCAAATCAATTAGGTTACACTAAGAAAAATTCCCATCGTCTTTTTTTAAACCTATGAAAGCTTAAGGATATTTTCCAAACAAAATATTAACAGTTTCCATCCGAAACTAACGGTAAGGGTATTTTTAAACTTTTCTTTTTCGGGATTTCTGAACTTTTATTGAAAGTTTAAGGTATTATTAGACCTTTTGAAAGTTCAAGGGTATTTTTAAACAAAGTACAAAGGTTAGGGGTATTCGTAGCCAATCAATTATAATTTATACAAGTAAATTTGAGCTGCAAAAGATAATATACGGACTAAATAGATACCACAGCCACAGACCATATACATATTTCCGAAATTATACTAATAGCTGCGAAAATTTAACATCTAAAAATGGGGGAAAACGTATTTGGACTATTAGTCAATTAAAAACACTCTCCAAAATTTACAGTGTGATCACTCGAAAATCCTAAAAACACTAAAATGTGCTTAAAGTGCTCGAAGGAAAAGTACTCAATTCGTGCTTCTTTCACTTAAGACCACACTCTTCAAAATCATTCCAAACTCGCCCCTTAATCCCAAACCAATATTTCGTGTTGCTTAAGTTTCCAACCTGAACAAACAAAATTTTCACAGAAACCCGACCTGAGTAGGACTAGGCTGAGTCTTTGACTATCTGGTTTGAAGTATCACAAAAGCTTAAGAAAAGAAAAAAAAACAAACGCATTATAAGGATTGTAGGAATACAGTAAAAAAAAGATATCCATCCAGACACAGGGGATTACCTGATTTTAAGAGAGTGTGAGAGGCAGGGAGCGGCGTCGAGTTGGAAGGGAGGCTGAGACTGCGACGGCTGAGAGTGCAGCATGCGGCGACACGGCGGGGCCGGGTGCAGTAGTAATGGGAGCGAGAAATGGCTGACGTTTAAGAAAAAATAACTGCTAGTAATAGTTAAAAGAAATAAATATGGTAAATCTGGGTGATTTTGAAATTATAAAAATTATTTTATTTATATTTAAAATTATTCTCAAATATATTATTGATACCAAATAAATTTTGATTAGATAAAATTTATGTCAAAGGTATAAAAATAAGCCTTAAATTAATTTTAATTTATTAAATATATGTTTTGATCGAATTGGAATTTTAGAAAATCGAAATTTTGGGTCAGTTCACAAGTTGACATTTTTTGGGTCGGGTCAATCTTACCAATCCGATCAACCCGAAAATAGGGTTACAACCCAACTCAATCCTAACTCTACCCAATTTTTAAAATGATTATGAACATTAAGAGCATTTGACGTTTGTAACTGATGTTAATAGATGTATTATGACTTGTGAATATTTGATATTTGAGATTTATGAGGTTTTAATTATTAATATAAAATATATTGTAGATAATTTGTAACAACCCTAAATTTTCACATACTCAGAGTCGCTACTAACATCTCATGTTCATCTATAATGCGGAAATATAACTCTTACATAAACATAATTGATAACGTAAACTTTAAAAAAAAACGTTTAAAACAACTTCTTCTCTGGAAAACACAGTCATGGTCTTACATGTTTAAATATGAAATACTGAAATTTGGAAAAAACAAAAACAAATACAAAATAATTTAAAACAATGAAATGCAAAACAACCTAATCTAACCTAAGACTAGAAATTTAAATATGAATCTACCCCATGCACGTGCCACATTCTCTATTCGCGATGTCGCCGTCCTCCGTGCAAGTGCGCCTTGCCTTTACCTGAAAAATGATGTGGCTCACGGCCTGAGTATTTCAAAGAATACTCAGTAAGTGGCCCCACTATAGGGGCAATGCAAATGCAAACACATGCAATCATGATTTAGGGACCTATCTCTAATCATCTTAGGAGTGGCCTCTAGTCTCGGACAAATTGGATGTGTAGTACTTCCCTACACACGACTCACACGTGCGAGTGTGAATCCCCAGGGCGCTCGCACACCCCCTGGACCCTCTGGTCAAGCTAATCTGTAGCGACGTCTGGAGGTCAATGAAACCCCATAGTGTCATGCACCTCATGAACACCCTCATCTGTGTGCTTTCGCACCTATGCGCATTCGCGCTCATCGTACGGTGCGCGTTCGCACTCATCATCTCTAGGGGAGTAACCCTATGCTTATGAACATACAATATGCATGAGGTCCCTCTAAATCCATCATAATGTCTCTTCTGACACAACCCTCTAGTCTCATCTCTTTGTTTCTCTAGGTAACACATACTCGTGGATATTTATATTAATATCATTTTCACGCTCTTAGGGTTGTGTCCTATGTCGATCTAACGACATGATGTAATATGGCACTCATCATCATATAGCATGCTCAATATGAAAAACGTCATCATATTAAGGTAAACGTCACGCAATCATCATACTCATCATATTGCCACAAAGTGCATCAAAGATATCAAGTACGACATTCATCAAAATATATATATACTGAGCACATCGTCAGGTATCATAACTCACACATCATCATAACTCATACATCATTAAAGTCATACATCATACATCATCATAACTCATATACCGCATCGTACGACATAGTTCATACATCATCGTAACTCATACAATTTTTAGCCTATCCTATAGTAAGACCACTTATGGTTGGCCTTAGCCGAAATATTCCCTAATTTATTTAACGTAAGCTCCCGCTCCTCCAGAACTACACCAAATGTTGCCAAGGTTTGCTTCCTATCGCATCGTTCGTCACCTTTTGTTAGTATTTCACATTTTGTTAGTATTTCACAATTTTGTTAGTATTTCACAATTTTAATTAATAATCCAACTAACCGTGTGAAATACGGCTCTAAACGGTCCCAATAAAAATCGAATTCCATGTTTTCATTGTTTCTAAATTATATAGGATAATAAAACTTAAAACTTAAATTAATAATATGTCAATATTATTAATATTTCAAGTGGCTTGTATAATTCAACATTTAATGTTATATCCTATAGATACAAATATAATATTTTCTCATATTTTTCATTTTCCTTCCCTCACTTATTTCTCTTCTATGTTATAACAGTACTTGCCATATGAACCGTACTTGCCATTTTCAACCCGTTCTAATTTTCTTTTCTTTCCTAAAATCTTCTCTCTTTTGTTTTTTTTTTCTTTGAACTCTAATTCTTTTCCGTCGTTCAATTCTACCTCCATATCTAATTATTTTAAGGAATTTAAATCTAGTTCTTGTTTTTTTTTCTTTGAACTCTAATTCTTTTCGGTGTTCAATTCTACCCCATATCTAATAGTTTATTACAAGGGGTTTAATTTTACTCTTATGTCTAAATAGTTTAATTCTGTTCAACAATTTAATTCTATTCCCGATTTTTTTTTTCTTTGGCTTTACTTTTTTTTTTTTATTATTTGAATATGTTTTCCAGATCTTCCTTGTCATCCTGTTTGCCAAATCTTCGTTTTTTTTATTTGAAACCAGATCTTCCTTTTCCCTATCTTCTTTCTCATCATGTTTTCCAAATCTTTTTTTTTTAAATTTGAATATGTTTTACAGATCTTCCTTTTCATCCTGTTTTCCAAATCTTCGTTTTTTTTTTATTTGAATATGTCTTCCAGATCTTTCTTTTCCCTATCTTCCTCCCTTTCTTATCTATCTATTCCTGGACCAATTTTAATGGACTCTAGCTAGGATAGATAATTTCGATCATTCAACAGATGATTTCTAAATTTCTAGCTCAGATCTAAATAAAATCTAAATAATTGCTAATACCCTTCGTATAAAGGAAAAGGTAAATCTGACTACTAACCTTTTCAAATGACATCTCTCTTCCTCTGTCTACCATCTCTCCAATATCTGCCTTCCTTCCCGAACTCTCCATTCTTGTATAAACATCTCTCCATTATATGCATATTTTTCCTCCAAATATTTTCTTTCTATTTCTGTTTTTGCTGAATTATTGATACTAAATGAAGGAGGTATTTTAGGGGATGGACCGAGAGATTAAAGGAGGTGGTCAGTTTTTTTTTTCTTTTCTTTATTTTCTTATTTTTATTTTACTACATATATATATATATATATATATATATTCAACCTAACAGGGCGTTACATTATCTACCCCTAAAAAGAACTTTCGTCCTCGAAAGTCTCCAACTCGTATACTAACTCAGGGAATTTTTCTTTTATTTCGTCCTTACACTCCCACATGGCCTCTTCATTGTGGTGATTTCGCCACAACACCTTAATGAACGCAATGTTTCTATAGCATAATGGTTTTACTTCTCTTGCTAAGATTCTTATTGGTTTTTCCTCATTACTCAGATCTTCATTGAGTTGGAGTAGTTCATAGTCTATTACATGGATAGGGTTCGTAATGTACTTTCTCAGCATCGACACATGAAATGCATCGTGTACTTCTAAGTGGGCTAGAGGTAGGGCTAACTTATACGCTACTGGACCAACTCACTCTAGGATCTCAAATGGTCCAATGAATTTAGGACTTAACTTGCCTGTACGTCCGAACCTCCAGACACCTTAAATAGGTGCCACCTTGAGGAATACTAGGCCCCTTGTCTCAAACTCTAAGCTTCTACGCCTTACATTGGTGTAGCTTTTCTGTTGACTTTTAGCGATACGCATCCTCGCTCGAATTTTTCTGAACAGCCTCATTGGTGAATCGAACCAGCTCGGGTCCTACTAACTCTCTTTCGCCTACTTCGTCCCAATATAGTGGGGACCTACACCGTTTCCCATACAAGGCCTCAAACGGTGTCATACCAATAGTGGCTTGGAAGTTGTTATTATACGAGAATTCCATGAGGTGGAGTATGGAATCCCAACTTCCCTTAAAATCTAGTACGCAAGCGCGTAACATGTCCTCTAGAATTTGGTTTAAACACTCTGTTTGTCCATCTGTTTGGGGGTGGAAGGCGGTACCAAAGTCGAGGCGGGTACCCAGCGCTTTTTGAAGTCCAAGCTAGAACGCTGACGTAAAGCGTGGGTCCCGATCTGACATTATAGATACTGGGACTCCATGTAGTCTTACTATTTCTTTCACACACAGCTGTGCCCAATTGTCAACTGTATATGTAGCTTTCCCAGGTAGGAAGTGTGCCGACTTGGTCAACCTATCGACAACTACCCGATCATTGTATAGCCTTTAAGCGTTTTGGGTAATCCTACTATGAAGTCCATTGCTCTGTTTCCCACTTCCACTCTAGTATGCTTAGGAGCTGCAGCAACCCCGCCGCCCTTTTATCTAGGAGCTTTCACTTGTTGACATACTAAGCACTTGCTCACAAACTCAGCCACGTCCCTCTTCATGCTCTTCCACCAGAAGTGTAGTTTTAAATCTTGGTACAACTTAGTACCTCCTGGGTGCATGGCAAATGACGAGTTGTGAGCTTCGTTAGTATTTCTTTCCTTAGCTCCTCTATTGTCGAGACATATAGACGTCTTGATACAATAGCCCTTCATCTGAGGTCTCTCAGCTAGCTGGCTTAAGACTTTCTATAGGTTTGGATCCTCTCGTTGGGAGGTAACCATTCTTTGCCTAAGTGTAGGTTTTACTGTAAGTCAGGCCAGTTGTGCCATGACTCTCTCGGTCGCTACAACTATGTTGGCTCCCTCGAATTTTCTTTGTACCTCTACTTCCCTCATAATGAGGGCCGAAGAGTGGGCCGTCTTTCT